ATGGAACGGAGAATTTTCTTTGTTTTTTTCGCGGCGTTTTTAAATTGCGTTCGTCTGTTTTTTCGAAAACTTTAAATTACTAGTTTCTTTAAATTTTTGGGATTCAATAAATCAAAATTGTAATATATTTATACTTTTGTTCCATCAATATATGTATGTAATGTACCCGCGACTTCGTAAATGGGTGATAAACCCTTATCATCACCTAATAAGACTTTAGACACTAAAGTTTAGTGTATATGTTGCAGTCAAAACTCATAATCAGTCAAAATCACTTTTGACTGGACAAATAAGTCAAAAGTGAAATTGACCAAGGGCATCAGTTAAAACCACTTTTAGCTGCGAAAAATCAGTCTAAATTCATACAAAGTATTATGATTAGTGAAATCATATTTTTAAGAAATCTAGGTATTAGCCAGGCAAAATACAAGAAGTAAATCATTACCTACTTTGTATGAAATTTGGACTGATTGGTAAAATTTGAAATCAGGCGAAAGCATTTTTGACTAATTTTTTGCAATCAAAAGTGGTTTTGACTAACGACCTTGGTCAAAACCACTTTTGACTGGAATAAATCAGTCAAATGTGATATTGACCAAGAGCATCAGTTAAAACCACTTTTTGACTGATTTTAGGTGTCAAAAGTGGTTTTGATCGATTATAATTATGAGTTTTGACTGTAACATACATCTTACTGTAGTAACTTACTACAGCCATAGTACCTTTTCTTAAAATAATACTTACCTAGTTATAGTTCTCGAAATGCTCATTAACCGTAACAGATTTTAATTAATAAGTATAATATAGAATTCCGCCTGTTCGTTTTGAGTAATCCGCCGTGAAAAAGAAAAATGTTATGTAATTAACAAATGATTACAGTTGGAATAACAAAAAAGCAAACAGGAAAGTAAATTGATGTGTAAAACAAATAGTACATATAGTCACTTTTTCTATCAAATTAGGTAGGTAATTGCGAAATCATTTTTTTGAAACTGGTTAAATAAATATTGAACCAGCAATAAAAACTGACAGTGGTAACTCTTTACGGGTTCTCTACATTTCTTACTTTGGTACTATCATACCAATTAATGGGTAAAGTAAAAAGAATAAAAACCTACGTAACAATTTAATTTTTTCGTAGTCTTTTTACACGCATTAAGATATTGCGATCGTACCTACTCTGTACAAAAGGGGTGTCAATTATTTTATCAGAAATAAAAACTGGTAAAGTGCGAATGATACGCCTCTACAAGGTGTTATCTACATTTGTTTTGATTGTAAGTAAGATACAGATTGTATAAAAGTGTAGTTTCATAGCCTCTTGTAGGAGTAGGTGTTCTCCCAGGTTAGTGTACTGATGTAGGGAGGTTAGCGACGTAATATGAAAGGTATTAAAATTCAATTTACGTCACTATAAAATGCAAATCTCTTTAAGAGCAGTTATCAAGTCTTTATTATTGCCCATAAAATCAAGAGAGTAAGGGGAATTAGGTTAGCAAGATCACCTTTGAGTTTTCACTTTAATTCTCTTTTTGCTTTCTCGGCTGTTCTTGACATCTCAAGAAGTTATTGTTGTTAATGTTAGGTCGTAAATGTGACATCGGCGATTCCTCGGTGGTCTATAATGATCGACTTCATTATGTTCTGTAGGTACCTCTAGTAGGAAAAACTTTCGAGTTCGTTTCGTTGCGTATTCAAAGTGTCATCGAAAAATTTTGTATGAAAAATTAAACAGCGCCCCCTATATTATAGCCGCCCTAGGGGGCGCTGTTTAATTTTTCATACAAAATTTTTCGATGACACTTTGAATACGCAACGAAACGAACTCGAAAGTTTTTCCTACTAGAGGTACTGGGCAATAAAAATAATTTATGATTCCGTAAAACGACCGAATTCTACTCGTAACGTGACAATCAGGGTCATCGCAAAACATTATCGATCTACATTTTATAAATAAATTGTTCGTAAGTAAAATATAATAATAATTATATTCATTGATCAATTAAATAATTGATCAATGAATATAATTATGAGAAAAATACTTATTTTTTGTTATATGTATATTTTTCATGNCAAATCAAATCAAATCAAATCATTTATTGCATTGCATTACATGTGGTTTGATAGTTGGTGAATGGTAGGGGGGCGTCCATATATTACGTGAGACAATTTTGGCCATTTTTCAACCCCCCCGCCCCCCTTGGTGAGATTTGGTGAGATTTTGCCTGACCCCCTCCCCCACCCCCCTAATCTCACGTGATATTTAATAAAATGCCTATTTTGCAATGTCTATGCTTCGAGTCTATTAGATTTATATGAAAAAATCAGTAACCCAGTGTCGTGCTCGTGCCACGCGCAGTGCAGGGTTCCATAGCTTCCCGTCGTTTAGTAAGACAAGCAATTGCTTCAACCTAGGACCAGTTTTTTGATTCATAGTTAAAATAACTAATTGTTAAATTTTGCTACTAATGGTTAAANCAGACTGATTTTTTGTGCCATTATATTCTTAAAATTTTAATAAAACTGTTAAGAAAAAGATACAGTATTTTATTGTTTTCACATCTCTGACTCTTATTGTAGATAAAACATTTCAAATGTAGAAAGTTATTTCATTATAAGATCCATACAGCTAAATAGCCCTGTACAGTTTATCGTTACTTTGAGATACAGCAGATCCGCTGCCTGGGAATTGAAGTCTACTTAAATAAGCCATACATTTTACCTTCCTGATACAACATTTCTGCAGCTCGACATTAAAAAATCAATTGCTGTAACTAGTCAAAAGTCAATGAAGTAGTAACTCTAGATTATTCCAATTACCTTTATTAAATAAAGTTTAATTAGTAGACGAAACATGTAAAATTTCAGCTTTCTAACTTTCTTAATTTAAGATTTATGAATTTTTGAAATAGTTTTTTTGCTCTGGTGTAAAATCGGACTTTTTGAGATACGACAAAATCGCTTTCTGCCGTCGATATAATTATCTATAATACCTGAAAATATTAATTGCCTATCCCGTGGGAGTTCGATGATACGACTAGAAAAATTTGACAAAAGTAATATTGACTAAGGCCATCGGTCAAAACCACTATTAACTGAAATTTGCAGTCAAAAGTGGTTTTGATAAGATAAGATAAGAATAAGATAATACTTTATTGCCTCGATTTTACATGCTTTACAAACATAGAAATATAAACAAAAAAAATACATTAAAAAACATAAGAGGCAAAAGGATGAGGCTCAGCATATGCGAGGTCAAGCATACCCTACCCCGCGCTGATTTTCAGCCTCCTCCTTTTCCCTTNGTATAAGTAACAAGTAATAACTATAACACGAAAGAAGTTAAAAGCTAAAAGAAAATATAAGCACACCAAGTAATTGTGCTAACAAATATCTTAATTCAATTAAAATATGCTTGTAAAAGCTTTTACAAGTTAGCAAATATTCATTATGAGATACAACATCTCTTTCGAAATTAATTAATGCATGCCCGAAATACCTACTTTTTTTTTCTTTTTTTAGTCCAGAATACTCGCTTCCAGAGACAGAAACAACCACTTAACCTTTATAGTTGTGGCAATTCACGAAGGCGGGTGAACTTTACATGTGTGGTGGCTCGCTATCGTTTCTCAAAAATTTTGATAAACATTACACTATCGTTATATGCATGTACACGTACACAGGAGATCCGCAGGAGAACCAAAGTGACCGACATAGATCGCAGAATTGCTAAAACCAAGTGGCAGTGGGCGGGGCACATAGCTCGTAGAGAGAGACGATGGCCGTTGGGGCAGAAAAGTTCTCGAGTGGCGACCGCGGGCTGGAAGACGTAGCGTGGGCAGGCCTCCTACTAGGTGGACCGACGATCTCGTAAAGGTCGCGGGAAGAGCCTGGATGCGGGCAGCGCAGGACCGTGCATTGTGGAAAACCTTGGAGGAGGCCTTTGTCCAGCAGTGGACGTCATTTGGCTGAAACGAACGAACGAACGAACACGTACACACACAAATGAAGCTCACTCGCCTCGTGAGTTGCAAGAACTAAGTATACCATAATTCAAACAAATGATGACAGATTTCTAGGTTTAGTCATAAAAGCGATAATGACAAAAGCTGTCGACTTATAGGTATTTCAGTTATCATTTCAGGCTTGTCCAGCATCTGTAGCGCTGATATCTCGATTACTACACGTGCTACGCTTTACCGTGAACTAGGATCTTTATCCTATAGCTTTTAGTATTTGGTTTGATATAAATAACCTACTACTTCTTACTTACATTTTTGTAAATTGAAAAACTGCATAATTGATAAAATAAGCTTAATTAAATAATTGATCAATGAAGATAATTATGAGAAAAATACTTATTTTTTGTTATATGTATATTTTTCATGATAATAAGACTTTCTTATTAAAAGCATATGCCAGTGGGTCCTAGACAAAGTGCAAATTATAATCGCAAACCAGTCGCAAAGTGGTCGAAAAGCCCCTTTTTTGTATGGAGTTTTGACGGATTCGATTTTCGATTCGATCAAAAAGTGCGTTTTGTCTAGGGGGCAGGGTCAGTCAGAAACAAATGCATCCGCTCTCATTCAGTCGAGTCGATATCGCAACGGAAAAAGTCCGTCTAATTAAAATTGTACTGACAGGCAATGCATTAGATTTAATGTTGATTTATCATAAGATTAGGCCATGTCCTATTTGGCCTATTGATCAGTTATTGATAATCGGGACAAAAAGTACAGTGGCCAAGGAACATCTATTTCTGTAATAGATCGGATAGAGCTTTAAATGGACTTAAAAACCACCACCAAAAATATTAGTTTTTCCATGAAAATGAGTTGAAAGAATTGGTCATTATGACGTTAAATTATCGCTACATAGTGTTATTAAAGCTAATAAAGCTCGTGCAGAAAATGCACTTCCCTCTTATATCATCATTAAAGTTAAGTTGCTCGTACGCAATAAATTAATCGATAACCAAGCCGATAATCATAAAAACATACCAGCAACAGCAGCACGAGAGCGCAGCCGTGGGCGCTCGTCATGCTTGCGGTCTGCCACACTCGAGCGCGGAGCCAACCGTTAATGCTATCTGCCCCGATTACCTTGCTGACGCAAGACAAAAAACCAACAATTGTTTTTTCCTCTAAACAATAAATCAATCACTGCGAAAAAAATAAAAATCCACACTGGCACTGATCAGATCAAAGTTCGAAGCTTTCCGCGAGCGCCGAAGAAAGCGCGGCCGTAAGTTTTCCCGCGCGCGTGTTTCGATGCGTCTGCGCTTAGGGACGGGTTGCGTGGTGCGCATGCGACGGCTCGGGACGGGACTGCCGCAGGCGCGCTCGGCTTGCTCCGTTGATGATGGTGGAACAGTTAGCCATCGACGGGGAGGGCACCACCTGTTCGCCTGTACCTTATCGTTCTCACGACACAATCACCGATCCGCCTCGCAATTTGGCAATCTCGTGATCTACATTGCTGATTGGCATCGGATCAGGGCAGATTTTGGTTCCAAAGTTTGCGGTGTGTTCATTGCCGTGACATTCGCGTGGAGAAATTGTGGAGTGCTGTGATTGAATGGCAGTCGGCTGAGCTTCGAGAGCGGGTCAGCGCGGTTATGCGCGGGTCGCAATCTCCACAGCGATGACTACAAACGCAGGAAATGATCATTCGATAAGATGGCTAAATAGCTTTTTTTACTGAGCTCATCGCGGCTATCGTCTTGATATAAAATTAGAACCGCTATAGAAAGTCAATCAATTTTTAGATGAATATCTCAAGATAAGTTTCGTTGGGCGTAGACACGAGTCTTGTTATTGCTAGTGCTATTTGGAACTGATAAATTATGTTCACTGAAATGTCACTGCGCAATCGGAAATAAAAATAATTAATAAATACCTGTTATAAAAGATAGGTAGGTATATCTAATTGAAATGAATAGATATACTCGTAATAACTAAGTAGCAAAATCTTATTTCTATAAGTAAATATTATGGTCAGCTTTAACCTATTAATTAGAGTTAATTGCTTGTTATGTTAATAGTTATCAAAACATGTCATCGCATTACCCGTTAGCATTTATTCCTTTTTAGATTATATTATAATCCCTGCTTTCATGCAGGTAGGACTCTTAAGAGTACTGATCTCTATCTAATTACGATTATTAAGTTCCCAAGTATTTTTTTATATAAATTAATAGTTAGGTACTCAATTGCTTCCATAATGTTACCTACATAAGCTTATGTTTCAGAAGTTATCATATTTTGATACCTTCTAGCTGTGTTGTTCAAGTGATAAGAATCACCACAAAAATCTATGTACACATGTAAATATCGCGAAATGAAGTTTTGTTGCTCCAAAATAAAAATGCTCTAAATGATTTCTACTATTGCTTCTGAGCAGCCTAAAGTGCAAGAACCTTAGGTACTTCTCAGAATACGTGAGGTAATCAGCAAACAGGTTGACACTGATGAAGTTAACAGGTGTACGAGGTACAAGACCAGAGGCAGCTGTGGCTGAGGCGGCGACCCGTGACCGTCCAGTCACGCCCTTACTTTGTTCCGCTAATGGCCTACGGTTGCTCAGTAATTAAACATCGTCTAATCATCTGTCTCTAGAGGTTAAGAAACTCCGCAGAAAAAATGATTCGTTATGCTTGCAGAGGGAAACAGGTGCTGCAGTTTGATTTCGCTATCGCTGAAAACGTACTTAAGTAAGTGTATTGACCGTGGCTATATGTTTCAGTTACGTTAAGTTTTAACTGAAAAACTAACGAAAAATGTATATAAGGGTCTTGGTCGTTTATTGGTGTTAAATGACATCGTGGATTAGTTTGATCATTTTGACTAATAACAGTATTTTCAACATGCATACTTTTATTTGAAGCTTTTAAAGACAAACGTTGTATCACTGTAGTTACAGGAAGGCAACAATGAAATGGTACTTCATGTCTCGCTGTCTTACAACGTAAGTGGTCGTGTTGTTAGATAGTCACCTACTTAGTACGATTGACACTTTACTAGTATACCCGCTATTTATTAGTGGTGACCCAATACCAAATAGCAAAGAAATAACAAAGTAAGTAAGACGGATCGCTTATTGGCTCTGACATTGCTAAAATTCCATAGGGGAGCTACATTGTTGCATACATAATTATGGTGGCAATTTCATACCTTCAATTTAGTTTACAGTTATGTACATTACGACTCTACACTGTCTGTGTTAATGACAGGCGTTTAGAGGCAGCTTAATAATAGAACATCAGCACGTACGAACTAATAAAAAGAGTCATAAAACAAAACTTGTGATAGAAGCTGCAACATCGACTTCTTTAGTTTGTCAATAGAAGTTTTGGTACAAGTCTGATATGATGTCCGTTGGGGCAGAAAAGTTCTACCACCGGGAACCACGGGCTGGAAGACAGGCCTCCTATTAGGTGGACCGACGATCTGGTGCAGATCGAGGGAAGAATCTGGATGCAGGCAGCGCAGGACCGGTCATTGTGGAAAGCCTTGGGGGAGGCCTTTGTCCAGCAGTGCGCGTCATTTGGCTGAAACGAACGAACGAACCCCAGAGTAACTAAGGATAGATACCTCCTACTTCTAACCTTGTAATAGAGGTGTACGTGTTCATCACATATGGTAGGATCCAAGTCAGTCGCCTTTTCCTCATCTAGACAATCGATCACAATTTTCGCTATCTACATAATCTAGTAGCTACAGACGACGGCACGTTAAGTTAAACACTGTAGCCTCTTATGAAATTGTAATAAGTGCTATTTCGCTACAGAAATGTATATTCTAATATGCTGTTCACTGTACACAGATCTAATAATGCATTATATCTAAATCAAATGTGATTGGTAGAGCTTAAAACCTGTTTTCAGTACCGATGATAATAAATGAAATAGGTTTAACTTCCGTATTCACCCGTATTAAACCATTTGAATGGAATTTCTAATCTCATCGACCATTATTTACATTTAAACTCACATTCACATGTTCACGGCCAGAAATAACTGAATAATTCATTTAAAATTTTAAATGGACGGAAATTATAGACTTGAACCAACAAGAGGCTATTTGACAACATTAAAAATAATGTAAGATTACTGATACATACATACCTACATATCTGTAGTGTGAATTAATTTGTAGTTTTTTTTTTGGAAAATCTACTTATTACATAATAACGAAAACATCGCGCATTGGCTAAATGGTGATATTATGTTTAAGGGTGTTTGGTAGAACGTTAGACAAACTTCGTATATATTACCAAACACCCTGTATATTTAGACCAGTGATGATTGTACTTGCATAATATGATCTTACTATTCGTATACTTTTTAATCAATTTGAATTTTTTTCCGGATCATCCTGTACGCAGAGAAAGTGGCATTCACATTTCAGGGAATGTTGTTTTTTTAGTGAAAACTTAAAATTAGATACCAAAATATAATTAATGTAATTGTAAACTTAAACATAAAAAGTATATCTGCTAAATAACTAAAATCCGTTCAAATTGAGTAAAAACTTATAAAAGCTAATACGTTTTTTGGTCCAGAGAAAGAACTTTAACAAAAACATTGTCGAAACTCTACTAATCGTTCGAATTTGTTTTTATTGCTCGTTCGCCGGTCATCTTACAATTTTGGACTACGTTTTTGCTACTGAGGAAAGCAATATCTTCTAAAACGACCACAACTTGATATTGTCGTTCCAGATCGACTATGGAAATATTAATCAAGTATTAATAAAAACAAAACCATATTAAAAAAATAGGTAGTAATTTGTCTTCTTGACTGCGCAGCTGTGGTCTTGTTTCTCTAATCAGAAATTAAGTTTGTGGATAAAAAAGTTTTATTTAAATTGATATCATTAGGAAGCAATTCAATTTTATACTGCACTAGCGGCCGCCTGCGACTTAGTACGCGTGGATCCCGTTTTACCCGCTCTATCTTACGCGGTTTAGATTTTTTTATACACATGTTTTTTCCCGCTAACTCCCGTTCCCGTGTGAATTTTGCAATATCCTGTTGTAACTAAGCTTTAAGTTTATTAAGGTAACCTGCATGCCAAATTTCAAGCGTCTAACTTAAGCGGTTTAGATTTTTCATACAAAAGGATTTTCCCGCTAATTCCCATTCCCGTGGGAATTCCTAAGTATACTATAACCTGCCTAGGAGTATGAAGAATAATTGTACCAAGTTTCGTTAAAATCCGTCGAGTAGTTTTTGTTTCTAGCTATAAGGAACATATAGACAGACAGACAGACAGACAAAAATTTTACTGATTGCATTTTTGGCATCAGTATCGATCACTAATTACCCCCTGATAGTTATTTTGAAAATATATTTCATGTACAGAATTGACCTCTCTACAGATTTATTATAGGTATAAAGTAGTAGATTTACTTGTCAAAAGGCAGTGGTTAAGGTAATATCTTAGTATCGGGCAGACTCCAAATCCTTTTTACGCATGCTAAAGCCAAAAGAAAGATAACTTATTTGGTTATTACCACTTTTGGTATTCTTGTTGTAAAGGAAAAATACTTACTCTGTGAACTTCTCAAAAGGCCCCTAAGGGCTTAAGGTTAGAGTTCAATGAAATGTAAATGAACAAGAGCCTATGCACGTGCATTTTAGTTAAAAATACTGTTATCGTCATACATACACATGTAACAACTTCTGGTTACTAATCATGAATTGGGCACGAAGAATATGCAGTAGGTAAACAAGTCATAAATATTTTAAATGCAATCAAACGTACCATAATACATTGAACTATACTAATGAGTGAATTCTTGGGGGAAGCCATTATTTTTTTTTTGTTTTTTATTGTGATATTTGGCTGAAACGAACAATTAAGTAAGTGTTACTCTTTCATACAAAACTATTGAATAGGTAGCACTAATTAGGTTAATTATTAGTAAACTGTGCTAACGAATACGTTTAATTTTGATCGAAATCTATGCGATACGAGTCGTGGGAAAAAGCTAGTCTCTCCTGAAACAAATTGCAATTCAATCGCAGTATCTAGGTATAGCTCAGAGTAAAGAAAGTGCATTATAAACACAAGCCGGTGCGTCCACCTGTTCCGTGTGCTCGAACAATGCAGAAAAGTGGACAGTCGTTGATCTTGACCACAGACTTGACGCCAGGGCCGGATTTAGAGGTATAAATAGGCATAGGGGCAATAAAAGAGTGGAGGCCCCCAGGCCCAATCATGCATCCTAATAAAATGAAAAATATTAAACATAATCATGTTTGTACAAAGTACTGTAGATAAAAGTAAAACGCGAAAAAATATCAAAGG